ACAGAAAATGAGAAAAGTCCAGTAGGATAACAAAACAGCTCGATGAACTGAAGTCCGAGAAGCAAAACTATCCGCAGCTTGTGGGGGCATCCGCATTGAGGGCTGGCGGAAGCGCCCAATGAAGCAAACGTACCCGTTCACCTCATGGTGCCAGCGCAAGGCCAGCCCAGTCATAACGCTGCACCGTCCACGGCCCACGACGCCGAACCCTACCCGGCGTGCGCCACAGCCAGCCACTTTCCTACGCCGCCCGACTGGCCAGAGTAGTTAGGCGTTCTTGCATAGAACGAAGAAGGCCCGCGAATGTTTGTCGTGTTGGCAATATGTTGGGCAGACGCCGCACGGGTAGGGGTGGCAGAAAGGTCACAACGCCATTATATAAGACGAATGATGGCTAGCAGGCAATTCAGAGCCGGTTTTCAGTCTATGTAGAAGGCCACAGGACGGGTTACATAACATGTCCGGTAGATAAGTGCACGGCTAAATTGGTGAGGTGAAATTATGAGGATATCTACGGCGCAATAGGTGCAAGAAACATATAATTAAATCAGTCATATAGTTAGTGCATTAGTTTATCATACAAACGCCGTGTTAGATGGTAATGAATAATCCCACTTTGAGCAGCCCAGAGCAGCGAGATGCGTCTTTAATCAAAATAATTAGCATTCTAACTTGGCCTTCCCGAATTCACCAGATGTAAGTGGCAGTCACAAACAGACATCAGACCACTGACAGCAGCTCTGCGAGACCTCTGAAACTCGAATTCAAACACACGGTCACTCAGAGAGCTCAGCTTAACCCAAAACTCAGTCAGCTCAGCGGCGCAATCAGCTCAGCGGCGCAATCAGCTCAGCAGCGCAATCAGCTCAGCACCGGCGGATCGGAAGATTGAAATGGCCTCGGAAGTTCCACAGATGAGATGCTCCACATACGCATATCGTAAGGCGCGGCCGAGTCCACCACTCGGACAAACAGAATGTAACAACCGGTGTATAACTGTCCATGGTCGATATCATGGCTGCAATACAGCTGCAGACCCAGCTAGGACAGCGCTGAGGCAGAGCAATGGCAAATCCGCACAGATTTGGGATAGCACTGGGGCAGCTGAGAGAGTTGGTGACGGGGACGGAATAGATCAAAGTCAAGGATAGAGTTGGGACGGAGGCAGAGTTGGGGATAGAGATTGGACGGAGCAGAGTTGGGGACAGAGCTGGGACGTGGGCAGAGTTGGGGACAGAGCTGGGACGTGGGCAGAGCCCGGGAGACGGCTGGGCAGAGGGGGTACCGGAAGTCAACCCCCCCCCCCCCCGTCGTCGGTCCGTCGGTCGGCGGTTCAAACTGCGGCTCCGGCGCGGCACCGCGGTCGATGGCTGACTGTCGGCCGGCCGGCCACATAAAGGCCGACGGCCGCGGGCACGCCACCAGAGACCGCCGGGCCGCCACTGTCAGCCTCAGAGGGTACAGCCGCCAGAACAGAGACCGAAACTGGGCTGGGCACTGGGCAGCACCAGGTGCGGGGGCGTACATTAAAAACAACGCCCACCTGGGAATATTTCCACCGCAGTCTCCAGGAAAACAGTGAATACTGTTATAGCAAATTGGTGGAGATTGATCACCTGCCATGGATACGACCATGCTGTTCTTTTCAGAAATAAACGAACGGTGCAGTTTCTTGGCTATTAAATGAAGTCACTTTCCTGGACGTGACCATGAGCATTGAGCAATACTCATTGAGCATTGGTAGCCAGCGCTACCTCTTTGGCTGCTGACGGCCTAACACCGTGACACGACATAATCCGGCCCTCTCCTACCACCGAGAGCCCCGAATCCTCTCCTCACGCCGTATCACCTCAGCTACTGACCGGCGCCCGGCCCGGGCCCCCGGTATCCAGGCGATCAGCCGCCACCCGGCGACACTATCACACTTCCTCACAGGAAAGGCGCCCACATGAAACACGGCCCGACACTCTGAGCGCCGCCCGCGGTCCGTGTCACAGGCCAGTCGTACCGGGAATAGCGTCATTAAGTCATCCGGTGACGCTGATTGCAGGTGACGTGTCACCGCGCTCTCTGGTTGGACGGCGCCCTGACCTTGGCCGGCCCGGTCGGACACAGGACATGGCATCGCAAGGATTGTGCACCTGTAGCACCGGAATCCCACCCGTGTAATTCTCATTAAGAGGATACTGGCGAGCAGCGTGACAACTGACTACAAAACTAATTAGCCTAACAGTCCGACTGATCGCGATCCGGCCGAAACAAAAAGCCACCGGGGGGCGGGATGCGGACGGAGTAGACGGATGGTGACATCAGAGGAATCGTGCACCGAGTTAAACATCAGTCACGACTTCACGGTTCGGTCTGCAACCATATCCGGATTTAGTTGATAGCAGATCGACAGATGAGCGAGCAGGATTCGGGGAACGAGAGAGAGCGACAGGAGTGATGTCAGCGGAGGAGGACAAGAGGGAGCAGAGGGTGAGAAAGATGAGAGAACGACCGGGGAGAGGACGGGAGGGGGATGGCGAAAGGAGAGGAAAGGGAAGAAAACAAGAAGGGAAGAGAACGGGAGGAGAGAGAGAGAGAGAGAGAGAGAGGGAGAGAGAGAGAGAGAGAGAGAGAGAGAGAGAGAGAGAGAGAGAGAGAGAGAGAGAGAGAGAGAGAGAGAGAGAGAGAGAGAGAGCTCGCGCAGACAGCAGGCCGGTGCCGGCGGCCACTGCGCCACACACTAATTGGATCCCGGCCGACCGAGGCGGCGAATCCCATCAGTGGACTCTGAGATGGGAGACGTGTCTCCTCTGCCCGGAGACGACCTCAGACAGAGGAACATCAAACGGAGAGACCGGCCTGCGCGGCACAGAGGGCTGAGACAGATCAGAGGCCCGGGACAGAGCAGGGGGACGCCGCCACATCGGCACTACACCGCCGAACCGCGAACATGGCGCCGAGAATAACATCACCAGACGGCATTTCCAGCACGGCGGCTTCAGATCGCCGTGCCATCAGGACAAAGTCACACTTAATCCTGTCCTTGACAGCCAAATGCTGTGGTCTTAGCCGGGTGAATGCGCCGATTTAGTGCACACTGATGGAGAGCTGTGATAAGGGCCGTTTTACGCCGGGCGCGCGTTGTAAACAACGAGCTAACTCGGGTGGACGGGGCGGCATAGCGTGCCGTGGCCGTAGCGTCACGCCTGGCGCCAGTGCCACTATTGTGACGATCGCCGTGGAGGTGAGCCGCCGCCGCGGGGCTCTCACCCCCTCTCTCTCCCCCCCGGCTCTCAGCACCTCATGTGGTGATCAATATTCCCGAAGGACAGCAGCCTGCAGAGGTCAGCCGGCGGACCTGCTGACCCCAAACTCCACCATCGCCATAAGACGATTTACACCGAAACTATTCGTGCATCCGGCGCTCGAAATTGATGGTTGCAAATTGGCGTAAGCCACTTCAAATAGGGCTTAACCGGCCTTACCGATGTCGCTGAAGTATCAGACTGAGCATCTTAGCTGAGATCGTGTCGTGTGGAATGGCCCAAGTGCTGGCTGTTGCGATAGCAGCACCGCTGCACCGTCCCAAGGTCTGCGAGCGGTATAACAGCTATGAGCTAGATGTGACAGTGACCATGTTTGAGACGGACAGAAATAAGTGTCCCGGACCCGGCCTGAGCCGTTTAACTAGTCCAACTAAGACACAAACCATGCACAAGATTGTTAACACTAAACGTGCTCCATAGTCAGAAACTATTTGCAGGAGTGCAACAAACTAGTTATGATAGCAATCTGTACCCGAAAGATAAAATTCATTCTAGCTGAACTGTGTATACCCAAGTCCGCAAAAAAAAAAACAATTCATTTAAATCAGAGCCAAGCAAAGATCCCAGCACAGTCAGGTTTGGACCAATGCCCCTATGTGTACAGAAGACATACCAAAAAGCCACCCTGCGCATAGCGTTACATGTAGGATAGCGTTACACAGTAGAGGTGGCAAAAGATGAAAATTTTGGGAACCAGACTCGAACCAGACCCGGCTGGACATTTCTGGAACCAGTCGGACCCGGTCTTAGTTAGAATCGGAACCAGTTGGACCCGTTCCCCAAAAGTCAAGTAATACAAACTACTTGTAGGTATCATTAGTTGCATCATGTAAAACAGCCTATTTCCCACTGGGAAACTCATGAGCTACTGTGTGCAAAAAAACATTCACTTCATTCACTTCATATTTTGCAATAATGTGTAGTGTGCAAGATGTATAGTTTATGGTAGGACCCGGTTGGACCCATCATAAAATTTCCAGGAACCGGTCTGGACCCATATGGGTCCAGACTGGTTCTTTGGACCGGGTCCTCGGGTCCACATTTTGCCACCTCTATTACACAGCAGTCCAGGCTGGCAAGCCGTCCCGGGTCGGCTCATCTGCAGACGCCGATCAATTATGATGTAAGCGGACGGCAGTCGGCTGTGCGGCCGCTCCGACGACACATCGTTAGTGGAGACGAATGACGCCGTTTGCACAGCGCCTATCGCAGAACATCTCGGAAAGATTGCAATCAAACTGCGCAGGAGTTGCAAAAGGAGGGTTAGTGGCCGGCAGATATCGGCGAGGAAAAATGACTGACTAAGCCTGCGGTAAGCACTATGATGTTTGGAACCAGTCACCCTTTCTCAATTTTGACTGGAATTATCCTTAACCGTAGACAATCAGCATGTGTTGGAGGTGATTCAGCATATATAACGAATATCTTAGAAAGTTTTTCTTCTCACTGGTTTGGTAGCTTGGCTTGATTAAGTGTGGCTGTTTGGATTTCCTTTGTTCCAAAGAAGGAAGGAAAACACTGACATATTCCCCAAATAAGCAGAGTCACAACTTATACTGGGGTAGGGGATGGGCCAATCCTACCAAAGCAGGCGAGTTCATCATTCATACTGGGGGGAATGGCACAAGAGCTAGTAACCATGCTCCAGCGAGCGCAGAGGCGCGGTCGGCGGCCGAGCCTGTGTACCTTGATGCGGTAGGAGCGGATCATCTCCAGCTTCTCCTCTGCCGACTTGGTCTCCTCCTTCTGCTCGATGGAGGAGATGATGCGCCACGAGGCGCGCCGCGCGCCGATCACGTTCTTGTAGGCCACCGAGAGCAGGTTGCGCTCCTCGACCGTCAGCTCGACGTCCAGACAGGCGAGCGTCTGCATCGCCTCCACCATCTCTGTAACGGCAGGGGAGATGTCAGCAAATGTCTGTCATATATGTACAGTCAGATACCATACAGACAGGCGAGTGTCCTCATCGCCTCTACCATTTCTGTGGTAAAAGTAAGGCGACATGTCAGAGAGCAGCACGCACCACAAACTATCTCTGTGATGGAGGTTGATCGAGACGTCAGTACATCACAGCATCACTGCAATAGCGGCGCGGTGAGACGTGAGTGCATTTTCACAACGGCACAGCAAAACATCAGTACGTTTTTGCAACACCGGCCGGGTGAAACGTCAGTCCCCAATAAAAAAAAAAGAGACGAGGCGTCAGTAAATCATTACTAGAGCGACACGATGAAAGTCAGCCCGCATCTCACGTCCGGGTATTGTGAGGAGGCTGCTACAAGGACCATCCAGCTGCTGAAGAAGATTTGTAGTGTTGTGCACTTGGCGCATTGTGCAAGGTTGGCTAATTGCAGGTTTAGAGATAATCATGGCGTTATGAAGTAGGTACTAGGTACCATCCATCACTCGCTAAAAATAAACCAAATCAGGATCCGGTCCACAGGGCCACCGTTCAGTCCTATCACAGCCACGCCACATCGATCTAATCCCGGCCCTCCCCGTGGCAGTACCGCCCCTCGCCAAACAGAGCCGAACGAAGGTCTTACTCATTACGCCAGAGCGCCGTACAACCAGCGGGCAGGCCAGTCGTGTCGAAAACACGGCACCTGCCGCCGACAGGGGAGGAGGGAGTCCCCCCCCCCCCCCCCCCACCTGCACATCCGCCCCATCTCTCTCCGTCCAGGGACATCAGTGCTGGCCATCTAAAAACCCGGCGGCTGCACCGAGATCGGAAACTGACGCCACTGACTCGCTCAGCCGGCAGCCATGACTCACAACTGGCCACTGCAGAAAGAGGGCTGACTCAGCGGCTGCCTCCAGCAACAATTGCACGCCGGGCCCGTGCAGCCGCGGAGAAATCCGTCTCAATGTCACCCGCTCGGCCAGCCGGCAGTTTCCGGCCCGCCGCCCGTAACTGCGCCCGCCCAGATAGCGCACGTTTGTTGTGGCCGTGCAGACTGTCCGCCATCCGTGGCGGCTGGGTCACCCGGGCACTCGCACAAGGACAGACGGACGATGCCGGGACTGAGCGGGCCCGACTCACAGCTCTCGCGTGCAGACACATCGTCAAGGATGCGCCGGTGCCGGCTCCGTCGAACGGACGTCCCCGGCGTCCCGACAGCGCGCCTGCGAAACGACAGACCCCCAGCTGTGAAGGCCAAGGTTACCGGCTCTCAAGGCGAACGGAGCCCAACTAGGCAACCGGTGACAAGGTCTGGCTCATGTACGGCTCGGGACCCCGGGCAGCAGCTCCAAAATGCAACAAGAATAAGAACGTCCTAGAACAAAAATTGTCGTAAGGAGTCATACAAAATGCGACATCGTCACCCTTCGGTCTTCCCGGAAAGGTATTAACTATGGCGTTCTAAATGTATCTAAGCCCAAGCAAGTCATGTCATGTGGCGATTTCCCACTTCCCTGCATCGCAGTTAACCGTCATTGGGCGGTGGCCCGTCGAATGACCCAGAGAAGGGCCGAACAGTGCGCCGTGGCCTGTGACGGCGGTGACTCATCGGGGCCGCGCCGCGTGCGACGCAGGTAACCGTCACACCGTCACATCGGCCGGCCGTGACGCTCCGGTGAGAGCCGCGTCACGGCCACCGGCCGCGCCGCGCCCGTAACGGAGAGACGGACCGGCCGCGGCAGAGGCGGCGTCACGGCGTCACGGCGTCACGGCGCCGCTCCGGGGCGCGTCACGGACACACTTCCGGCGTCGGCCGGAGCCCCGCCCCGTGCCGGACGGACGCCGCCGAGGGGCACGCCGTCACCTGTACCGTGTGGGTTCCGGCAGGCCGGGCGCCGTTTGAATTGCAAGCCGCTGCTGGTGGCAGAGGGCGACGGGCGGCGGGTCCAGAGACCGGCACCGTTCGCGCTACCGGTGAGGTCAGCCGCGCTGTAAACGCGGTCTGCCGGAACACAGCACGGCGGTGGTCTGGCCTGCAGTGGCTCGTATCAAACGGCTGTCGGCGGGAGTAGCAGCCGCATAGGCGCGGCTATTTGCTTTGGCTCTAGGGCCGTGGTCAGGGATGTGTAATGAATGCAATTCTAATGAAGGCTCAAGAGGAACAAAGAGGTTCGATCAATGAATTCATCTCAACCGAACCGGCGCCCTTTGGCCATTCTAGAAACCGATAGTGCCCTTCTATCACAAAGCAATCAATCAGCAGTGCTTCCGCAAACAATCCAGATTTCATTAGTTCGACATCCACGCCGATCTGAGACCGTCCGACTGATCACAGTGCGACCTACTGGGGCATCCATCCGTAGCGTACCACTGAACCACATACCCACGGGTCGACTGAAGGGCAGCCGCCGGGTGGGGGACGCCGGTGGCCCGCCCGCCCACCACCCGCGGGGATTGGGCGCTTCCTGCGCGACTGACGCTGACGGCTCGGGACGTCCTGTGACCATTACGGGCGTCCGGCCGGAGCCGCGGCCGGGGGAAGCGGGACGCGCCGCCCGGCACCGCGCACATGTGATAGATCGATCGGGCCCGGAGGTGACCTTGAAACCTCAAAATATTTCGGTTAGCTCAAGGTTGACATCATGGCGTAGAAAAACAGGAATTAGCATTGGACTCGCGTTGGCAGGTAAATCGCGTCAACTGAGGACCACAGACGCCACAACGGTTCAATTTTACGGCACATATCGCGTCAAAGCTCCGTAGCTACCAACCGGAGCTCCGGCTCAGCGCACAAGTCGAATCTCCCCCACATCAGCACCCCCTCCCCCCCCCCGCCACAAATTGTCAACGCCGTGCCGGAGACGAGGCTGCCAGCCCGGAAGTTCCCGAGTCGATCGACCGTGCTGCGCGGGTCTCGTCTGGTCAGACCATCGTCACGCCAGGCCTGACGATGGTCTGAAGAAGCATAACCTTTATGGAGATTTATGGAGAAGCATAACCTTGTCGCCTCCAGTCGGCTGACACGCTAGGATCGATTACAAGCGATCGCCTGCTACGACACCGCCACATTCAGATGTAGTGGGCCGTCGACAGTCACAGCGAGGTTTGCCCAGATTGGCGCGGAACAAAAAGTAAACCGAAACAGATGGGTATGTAATGTCAACAACACGCTCGACAGTGAACTTTGTTTTGTTTTCATGTCAACTAACATTTGTGGGACGGTTAGTCAAAAGGCCAGCCTAAAAATACTGCCTCATGTATGCGTATGTTCCTTGTTTAAGCATATAACCGGATTTCCATGTTGTAACTACAAGGCGTCGAATATTTTAGCGTACAAATCCGTAATGATGACGTGTCAATGACTGTGGTACAGTGGCATGTCACCCTTTGAACCACACGGCGTGTCAAAGCCCAATCGTGCCAAATGTCACACAAAAACGAGGTTTACATGACAGTTTGACCGCCAGCACTTTGCACTCACGTGACAAAAAAGCACGTGTCACCCTGCGATCAATACTAAAACAAGAACTTTACAGGGAGGGGAGGGCAGAAAAAGAATGCATTTTGGAGCCACAGAAGATGGCACTGGGCGCGGAGCGCGGCCGAGCCGCCAGGCGGCGCTGTCATCAGCTGACGACCCGAGACGGGCCTCACTGGGCCCGGCTCGGCGGCGGAGCACCCAATCTACCCAGCGCCCTGACCCGTCAGCATCGCACCCACCGCCGCAGCGCCGCTCTCGGGCTGTGACCCTAATGTGGGCCGCCAGCGCACTGACCGCAGACGAACTGTTTGACGCACACGACCGCGCCCGAGCCGCCTCCCGACTTCTCACACCGCTGGAGCCGAGCCGAGCGGCCGAAGGGAGCGGGCCGGTCGGGACACGGCGCTCCCACGCTCACCGCAGTGTGAGACTGTGAGCGGAAACTGTGAGCGCACAGCACGGCCTACCCAATCAAGGTTATAGAATATACGAGAGGAGGAACTAGCACACACCATCGTGCCGCCCTGAGCCATTAGATATTACCGAGCGGCGAACACGAACCAGTCCGCTGACCGGCCGCCGACCTGACCCGCTCTCCCCGGCTGGGAACGCCCTCCAGGTCAGCGCACGCTGCCGGCTGCAGGCCGCTGCACTCTGGTCCGTCTGCAGGCGCGCCGTTCAGCGCTCATCTCCCGCCCCCACCAGTGGCCGCGCCGCGACGGGCCGGGCCGTGTGTCCGATCGGGGCCATGGTCGGCGCGCACCGGTCAACGCTCCGAATCGCGGGCGGCGCAGAATGGTCCAGACGCGGCTCAGAATAGCCCAAGAGCAGCACATAACGGCCAGGGGATGGCACATTGGCCTGGCAGAGGCAAAATGTAGCCCACAAAATGTAGCGTGTCCCAGGAGCGGCACGGAGTGGCCGAGGAGCTGTGCGTGTCTCAGAGCGGCAGCGGCACACGTCTGACGCAACTCGTAATGGGTGGCCGAACGCGGCTGGGTCGTCCAGCCGCGCACTGCCCCGCTGGCTGGTGCCAAGCACGCACCCAGTCCGAGCAGCACATGCCGCCGGTGATGTAACCCATTGCTTGGCACGGCGGTCACATAGGTAACACCGATTCCACGGCTACTGGAGCGCTACCAGCAGCTCACGTGAGGCAAATAAATCGCAACAGTCCGCAATGCAATTCACTGAAAGCATTCAGAAAATATTTTTACATTCACACAATGACATTCTCAGTGTTTGATCTTTTTCTGGCATCTTGTAGAAAGCTAGTCGGGTCCCGCAATGGCTTCATCCCACAATTGTTCAAATTGGACTGTGTTTCTTGTTCACCACTGACGCTGATGGCCGTCGGCGCGGCACTTTGGTTATTGGCATGGGCATCAGAGGAACGGATGTGCGAAAACCTACAAACACTATGTGCATCGTACATATACCGGGCTTTGCAAAAGTTCTGTTACACTTTCTTTTTCTTTATTTTGAGGGTTTACAGGTCTGGG